GGTGTCCCTGCCCATGGCAGGGGGTGGGACTGAATGGGCTGTGAGGTCCCTTCCAACTCAAACCAGTCTGGGATTCTAAGTGTTGCTTACCCAAATCATGACAAAGCCCAGCAATTTCTACACAGAGGATATCTCGCTGGGTTATATCCAGTTCTGGCTGTCTCTCCTTCAGTTCACGAACCAGACATCCTGCTAGGTAGCCCACCCTGTTGCAGAGGGGAAAGAAGGAAAGAAGGAGGGAAGGAAGGAAAGAAGGAGGGAAGGAAGGAAAGAAGGAGGGAAGGAAGGAAAGAAGGAGGGAAGGAAGGAAAGAAAAGAGAAAAAGAAAAGAGAAAAAGGGGAAAAAAAAAAAAAAAAGGACCATGAATATAGTAGTAGTGGTTTAGGCTAAACAGAAACAGAGCAGTTCACCTGTTCTGTTTTGCTCCATTAAGTCACAGCCCTTGTCTGAGAGACAGCACACAACAAATACTCAAACCCTGACCTGCAAGAGAATCACAGACAAACTATTTCCTGTAGTAGACAGGAAGTCATCAATAACACATCTGAAAGCAAAAAACCATGAGATACGCCCAAAACATGGAGACAACAGCATCCTGCAGTATTTCATAATCACAACCACAGAGTAACGAACAGCCGTGCATTACCGGCAACGTGCATCTTGAAGCGCCACAGCTTACACCTCATCCTTTGACCTCCAGTCTGTGCAACTGCAAAGGTCTACAACAGCCACCAAAGCATTTTATTCTTCTTTCAAATTGCTATTTTAACAATAGCTTATGACAATCGTTTATCTCCCTTTCCTTCATTTTAGACTTGACATTGAATTTCACTGAATGGGACCCTCTGTTCTCCTGATATGAAAACAGCAGGAACAAGCACACGGCACATACTCCCATAAACTGTTCACAAGCTCTGCACCAACATCCTTTTTCACTTGTGTCAACAGTCCTCCTCCCTTCCAGAACATCTTAAAGCAAGACAAGGTTTTCTATGATGAGGCAGTATCTTTCATTAGACCAAATTGTATCGTTTGGTGGGTTTTTAATAGACCAGTGAGCACACAAAGCTCACTACTTCCATTTTAACACTGTAGAAATCTTCAAAGTGATATACAAGTTGAGAACAACTCTCCTAAGATTAACTATATAGATTAATTGAACTGTTTAAAGGAAAAGGTTGTTGATGCCACTGGAGTTTTCTTTCTCCTGTTGTGAAAGCTTTGTTTATATCCCTCACATTTTTGTCTTTTCAGGTTTACCACATACAATCAATTCCGGCTCACTGCTTAGACCCTTTTGCAATAGCTATTTGCACTTTGTTAGTGTCAGAGAGCAGGACAGAAGCCAGACTTACTCCACAATATTTCAGCACTAAAAAAAAAAAACCAACTTTAGGCTGGCCAGATCACCTGAATAAAAACTAATTTAATTTCTCTGCACCTTGGGATATACTTTTAAAACAAGCTTAAATTTGTCATTAATCAGCCTCACTGTGGAGTGTGAACGACCTCGCATTCTGCGAACCCTGGTGTCCATAATCTGTTTCTGTTTAACTTATATTACAGCTAACAGCCTGACAATCTGCCATCGACTGCATAAAGCACACATAGCAACAAATGCAAACATTACAGATAAAATGGGGTTTAGCTGTGCTGGACAATATAAAGAGATTACAACTGACTGGCGAGTCATTTAGAGCAGCCCCTGTACCCTTCCCAGGTTTATGCTTTAAAATTCAAATTTTGACCAGGGAGAACATAAAGCACTCACAGTTTTTCATTAACATTATTCTTAGAAGAAGAAGGGGCAGGGGAGGAAGCCTAATGTTGATCCATCTTGTAGGTTTCTTTATCTGTCTTTATTAAATGAAGTTCAAGGGACCAGCCCATAATCACACAGGATATCCAGGAACATTTGTAAGACCAAAAATGCTACCCTAGCAGTTTTCACCAATGCTCAAAGACAGCGATGCCCCTTGGCTGGGAAATCCAAATGCAAGAGACGTGCATGCAAGACATCACCACCTTACCCTATAGAGTGTTCAAAGCGGTTGTGAGAGGCTCCTGGAAAAACAAAGTAAGTGCCACCCAGCTGCTTAATGTATCGCAGGCGCTGAAACTGAGGTGTGTCGATGATGCGAATAAGAAGGGGATGTATTTCAATGTGTCCATGAATTGGATCGTTAAAAACCTACAAAAGCCAAGCAATAGTGGAATCAACATTTATAATTTGACTTTGAAAGGAAACAGGCACCAAGGTAAAGGATATCTAGAATGATCAGGTATTCGGTGGGAGAGGGTGATTGTTCTGTTTTCTCCTGTAAAAGTCATGTCCTGCCTACCATATTCCAAGATTTATCTGGGAGAACTACTTAAGCATGGCATCAAAAAAAACCAAAGCTGCATATTTCAGAGTGCAAGGGAATTAAAGCAAAAATTTCTAAAAATGTTATCTGCACCTGTGTAATCCCAAAACTTAACACTTAAGAAAACTGCTGTGTATTAATGTGCTAGTCCAGTTAAAGCAGGATACTGCGATACATGTCCGAGATGCGCAATAAGAAGTGTTTGGCTTGCCATTGTTCATGTTTTTTAAAATCAAGTGAAATTTTGCAGAGTGGATATTATGATTCTTACCTTTTTCATAAAACAAAATGCAAAACCCAAGATAACTGAAACATGAAATAAGTACTCCCTGATCATCCCTAAGCACATGTTCTAAGAGACATGAGTAACTACAGTGACTTACTAGAGAAGACAAATGTGCACATTTAATCCTTGCCTCCAAACAGCAGATAAAATATTTCATCACACACATATCTTGGTAAAATACTGAGGCAAATAAGGTTTTCCTGTGTTCTTTCTACTCTGGGTCACTGAGCTGACAGGGCTCGAGCAGATGTGCAAGATGATTAAGGAATGCGTTCGCGCAGCCCTGGCCTGAAGTTAAACCAACATACACCACTGCGAGAAACTGCTGGACTCAAGCAAACAGTGGAAGCGCGAAGGAGTCCGTTAACCCAGGCCTGGGGCTAAACTAATAAAAAAAGCCCCAACAAAACAAGGGGAGGCTCCACAGAGAGAGATATGAAAGGGGGGAGCTTCTGAACACATTTCTAAGAGCTCATCTGCTTGTTCAATCTCTCACAACCGCCAGGTGCCCACATAAAGCTCTTAGCTGATGATTTTAACAATTTTTCTGGTTAATGTGGTTTTTCAAAGACCACCCACTATCAAGGAGAAGGGCTCGGAGTTTGCTGCTCTGCAAAGGCAAGGCACCACCGCAGCCCCAGCTGGCACCACCGAGCCAAGAGGAGGGGAGGCAGAGAGAGGGAGAGAGGCCACGCTGCGAAGCACCAGCCCTGCGAGCGGTGTCGACACGACTCGGCGCTGGGGCTACCTTCATTATGTCCACATGCTGCTGTCTCAGCTTGTTCAGGCACTCCAGCACTTTCAGTCTCTCGTCTGGGAGGCTAGAAAGGAAAAAAAGACATTGAGAGCAAAGTTTGCAATGCATTTCCCTCTACAATTTGCAGTACTTGTTCAAGTTCATATTACTCTGGTATTTGTTGACTCTTTTACAGAAATACAGGTTTCTGCAGCTTTTTCAGAAAAATGCTGAAAGCACTTATTCTTCTGAAGTCAAGTATACAAGGAAGAGAACAAATTGCTACAGAAGTTGTCTGTAAAGCAGTGTAAGTGCTTCTCCCGAGCAACAGAAACACCAGGAAATACACATTTTTTTCATCAATTTCTTTTAGGGACAGTCACATATTTAGGAATACGTCCTTTAAATTTAAGAGAAAGACAACAATCAGTGCCTGAAAAAGTGACATTTTTTAAGGTTGAAAAATGCCTTAAATTAAAACATCAAATTCCCAATAAACAATTTTTATAAAAATTTCTTTCAGTTAGTCAACTCTGTATTAAAAGAAGTTTACTTTTGCCAAATTAACTTGAATTTTACACAAATTAATTTCAACTCCAACAGCGGAAACACCGCAGTTTAAAAGATGCCCTAATTTTGTTGAGAACCGATTCTTCTATTTTGTAAAGATATTTTGCTGTCGTTTTTAATTCATTATTAAAGGTCCCCTTCACAACACACACACAAACTTTCAATGCAGGTACTCTGCTGTAGCCATGGACATCTAAGAGCACAGGCAGGACAAGTCTGGAGGGAGAGATAATACACTCTGTTACACCCGCTTCCATTAACTCTGTCTGCAAGCCTTGTCATACTGAGGCTGAAACCATGTTGCTCAAGGACAGCAAGCGCTTTATCACAAGAAAGTATGATTTGCTACCTCTCACGCTTCAGCAGTTAACCACCCTGAGATCAGTTTTACATCAGACTTTCAATTCAAACTTTAACAGAAAGCAATAGTATAAAATGTCAACTATTAGAAAAAAAGTCTGCTTGATGCACGACATATTTTCATCCGAATCATTTAACAATTCACAACCCATAAAATATTAAACGCGTATGATGTCTCAGTAGTTTTTGTCTTAACCACTTAGTATCCCCTTCCCTCCCGGGGAGGTCTTGGGCTGCAGCCTCTGCTGCTCACACGATCACAAGTCCTTAGCTACCCCCACTCGCAAGCAAGATGAAAACCGCTGGTGGTGATGCCCAGAGCAGCGTGTCACCTCACATCCCAAGCAGCTCAGTCTGCAGGAACAGTCACAAACCCCCAGATACTTACGAGGCAGTTCCTGAAAGGGCTGACTATTTACAGGGCAACAGAAAGCAACTAACAC